ATCGGGTTTGCATTAACTCCTCTAGTACGTAATCTAGTTGATGTCGGTAACGCTCCAGAGAGTACTTTCCACAAGAAATGTTGTATTTTTGGAAGTAACTTCATTTTCCAAATCTTCATCTTTAAGTCAATTGAACCAGGTGGTGGTTCTATTGGTTCCTCCGTCATTGCTTGGTGAGTTGCAAACCAGTAGCCTGACTTCACTGAATATATGGTATCTTTAGAGTAAGGCCAAATATATTTATCCCGTACTGCATGCTTGGATAAAATTATCCGTCGAACTATCTCTGCATCTGCTATATCTAGTACCTGATGTATTGCTGCTTCATCCCATTCTCTTTGTCCTTGTATCATGAGATCTGCAACACACATTGTTGGATCAATGTTATTTCCTCTTGCTGCACGAGGTGGTAAAGTGGGAAGCCATGGATCACATCCTACTTTAATATCTCTCCCATTACCGATTTGAACTTGTAGACCTTGCTTTAATAGGTCTTTCCCGGCTTGGATTGATCTCCAGCCAAAAGATGGTTGTCCACCACACGAAGATTGTAAGAACATCGACGAGTGATGATACCTGCCTTTATATATACGAGCGAGCAAAAAATTCGGATCACTTAAGATTCTCCATGCTTGTTTAGCAAGAAGAGCCCGGTTGAACTGATGAAGATCTCTAAACCCAAGACCTCCCTCTTTCTTTGGTAATGACATCCGTTTCCAAGCCACCCATGAAATCTTTCTTGCACCATTTTCTTTACTCCACCAAAAATCAGTCAAAATACTATTAATCTCATCACAAACTGTTTTGGGTATAAGAAAACAGTTCATGGAATATATTGGCATTGCTTGTAGAACTGTTTTAATGAGAATCTCTTTCCCTGCAGGTGTCAAGAATTGATGATACCAACCAGTTCTCCTTTCTCGGATTTTCTTTAATACAAAATCAAAAGCCTCCGTTTTGTTTCTACCAAACTGTTCTGGTAATCCGAGGTACTTACCTCCTCCACCAACACTCTGAATACCAAGTATAGACTGAATCAATTGTCTTCTATGTACCTCTAATCTCATACCAAATATAATCGAAGACTTCTCATAATTAACCTTTTGTCCCGATATACGCTCATAATCTCCTATGATTTTTGCCATCACCTCACAATCAGACTTTGTTGCTCTGCAAAAGAAAAGGGAATCATCTGCGAATAGGAGATGTGTTACCGTAGGGCAATTTTTTGCTAATCTCATCCCTTGAAATCTTTTGTTTTTTTCTGCAGTATCTAGCATTTGACTCATAACTTCTGCACAAATAAGGAATAAGTAAGGAGAAAGGGGATCTCCCTGTCTAATTCCACGAGTAGGTTTTATATCACCATATGCAACACCATTGATCAATACTGAGAAAGAGGCTGTCTTTACACACTTCATAATCCATGTTATCCATTTCTCTGTAAAACCAAATTTCTTCATTACTTGTTCCAGAAAACTCCATTCAACCCTATCATAAGCCTTGCTTATATCAGTTTTAATTGCTATATACGCCTCTGCACAATCCTTTTTCGATTTTAAACCATGCAGGAGTTCATGTGCTATTAGCACATTATCCGTTATGTTCCGACCTGGAACAAAAGCTGTTTGCGATTCAGATATCAGATGCGATAGACACTTCTGTAATCTCATTACCAAAATCTTTGATATGATCTTGTAGTTGACTGTGCACAGACTTATTGGCCTGAAGTCTGATATTTTAATTGCGTCGGATATCTTTGGTAACAGACACAAATTAGTGTGATTGATGCCTTCCTCCATTTCACCTGTATCAAAAAACTTTCTGACCATAGTACATACATCTGCTCCAACGTTTTCCCAAAATTGTTGATAGAAAGCAGCCGTAAATCCATCATGACCAGGTGCTTTATCAGGGCCAATTAAAAAAACTGCTGCTTTAATCTCATGATCTGTTACTGGTTGTGTTAGGGCTCTGTTCATATCCTCTGTTACCTTTGTTTGAACCGCATCAAAAACATCTTCCAACAAATCAGGATTTGAAGACGTAAACATTTGTTGGAAATAATCTTGTGCTACCACAGCAATTGCATCATCTCGTTTGTGTATCATACCATTATCATCCTTGATTTGTTTTATGCAATTATACGGTTTACGAGCTCGTGTTAAACCATGAAAAAATCTGGTATTGCGATCACCAACCTTGAGCCATGAATTCCTACTTTTGAGCTTCCAATATTCCTCTTCGTCTCGGTATGCACTGTTAAGATCTTTTCTCATCTTGTGTATTTCTTCTGCAGATATAGTGGGATCTCGAAGTGCATTATCAATTTGTATCCGCAGAATTTGGATTCTCTCGGCCGAGTTAGTCTTGTTTCTTCGTTTCCATTGTGCCATAGTTCTTCGACAGACCTTAAGTTTTTTTGTCAGCATTATGATATTTGAGTCAGTTCGTTCCTATTGATCTCTTACTGTCTCTGCAAATCCTTCTTGGAGGAACAATCTCTTATCATATCTGAACTGTCCTTTTCGTGTTTGCGGTTCATAAGCAATAGACACTAGAAGAGGTCTATGGTCTGATTCCGCTAGCTCCAAAAACTCAGCTTCAGATTCCGGATACAAGGATTTCCAATGTGAATTTACAATCACTCTGTCTAAGCAGCATTCCACCACTTCATTCCTTCGTTTACCCACCCAGCTAAACTGATTACCCTTATGTTTGAGATCTTCCATATCACATACTTTCATCATCGTTGTGAAGTCGTGAAAACTTTTAGCATTACGAAGTCTTCCTCCTTTCTTTTCAGTCTGTTTAGTGATTTCATTAAAATCACCAAACATCATCCATGGTCCTGTTCGTGAAACAGCCAATCTCTGTAACTTTTCCCATAAGTAATTTCTCATCTTTGGAACAGGATCACCGTAGACACAAGACAAATAGAATTGGAATGATTTATATTCAACAACAAGATCTAGAAGTCTTGCATCTGCGGATATACAACTAACTGAAACATGCTTTTTCCAAAATACTACTAAACCTCCACTTAACCCCTGAGGCGCTACAATACAACAATCATCATAACCCAGAAGCACCCCAATATCTCTAACATAATCATTTCTTTGTTTTGTCTCCACCAGGAACAGCAAGTCTGGATGATACAGCCGCTGCATCTCCTTCAGACGTCGAACTGTGAGGCGCTGTCCCAAGCCCCGACAGTTCCACACCTGAGACTATGTATTTTCTATTTGAATGTACTTCATGATTGCGATTTTCATATAAATGGAAACAAATTTATGAAAACGTTAGACAACAAAAATCTATTAACTTTTATTTAGATACAAAAATATCTGATAATAAGTTTCATAAAACAGACAATTAACTTTATAGTTTACAAAACAGATGTGATATCTAAACAAAATGACGTATGTCCAAAAGCATAACAATAGATTAATGTTATTTGGAACATATTGTAGATTAGTATTGTATACTTAGCTTAAGACTACGTACCTTTACTAAAGAGCTCTTTCTTTAGATACGGATTAGAGACTAAGTTAAGTCTTAAGATGAAGAAAAGTTTGACTAACTATTGTCTTTACCTCTCCGTATAACTCGATTGCGACACTTTTCAAGAATATAAGAACTGTGTTTTCAGAAACAAAATAGTAAAAAAAAAAAAATACAGTTAACTCATTTTTACCAAAAATCTCAAACTTTTATTAAAAAAAATCCTAGCAAAACGCTTCATAAGCAGTGTTTAAGAGGTAGCCATTAGGCGGACGGTGATACAACGCCTAGCGCCTAAAACGCTTAATTGAAGTTTAGGCGATTTTTATGCATTTTAAACGTTTACAAAATAAATTAATTTATTATATATTTTTATAGAATGTCATATATAAAATTACATAGTTTGTTTATAAATAATAAAGTTTGCATATTATAAATTTTAAATATATATTTTAAATTTAAATTACACATAAAAAATAAAATAAATCTTATAAATATCAAATATAAAACGCTTAGAAAGTAATTGTCACAGTATATGAACGCCTAACACCTAGGCGGACGGTCTATGAACGCTTAGTGCTTAGGTGACCGCCTAGATCTTAGAACACTGTTCATAAGTATTGTTTGAAGGGAACCAAATAGATTAAAAACTAATACTAGTAGAATATTGCACTTAGCGCGAGAATTTGTATCTTATTAACCAGTATATATTTTAGATATGGATTGGATTAGTTTAAGCCTTAAGATGAAAGCTAGAGTAATTATTGTCTTTTAAAAAACATAAATCATGAAGATGAAATAAAATTCTTTTAAAACCTAAGAATCAAATCTCAATACTTATTTAAGAGGTTCACTAGATGTTATATTCAACCAAAATTTAAGACTAATAAATTAACGGAGAAAAGTATACAGGTCCTGTTTTCTTAATTCCTAGAGTTGAAAACTGAAATAAAATATTCGTAGACAAGTAATAAAAGATGATGAAAATTTTGGAAAAACACTAAATGAGTTTTAATTGAAGTACTATCTCAGTTAATTATAAATTAGTTATAAACTAATACGAACTAATATTTTTCGACATCAATGTAAGACACTTAATAATTTGTATATCACGTAAATACAAAAAACTAGACACGTATTGTTCTTTTTTTTTTAAATATCGCTGTTACTTTTTTGTTTGACATAAAAACAATATTTGATAGACGAAAAAAAAAACAATTTTTTTGATAAAGACAGGTATCGTGTAAAAAACAAATTTATATTTTCTTATAAAATCAAATTTTTTTAAAGTTCCGTAAAGTTGTCTTTGAGTACTATCTATAATTTCTAAATATAACATAACATTATTACCGACCAAATATGTTATTGCCACATGCAGTAAGTCATCACCAATCAGGTCGTTCCATACACCATAGAGGCAATTAATTATTTGACTAAGTGAGAGTTAATCTTTTTTCCCGACCAAAACTATTTTTTCAATATTAAGAAAATCAATTTTTTTTTCTTTGATCTCTCTCTGCCTTTAACGTTTTCTTTGAAAACTATAAGAAAAAGCAGAGACTTCGGATCCCTTTTTTTGTAATAAGAGAGAGGTTCGTTGGTGGACCACTCCTTTTGCCTCGTTGAGATCGGCGGCGGAGTTACACGACGGCGATTCAGTCGGTGAAATCATGCAAAGGTAGTCACCGGCGATACCCGTCTTTCTTCCCGGAGACGACGAGCGTCGGAAGAATCCGAAAGGAATCAGCTATGGTTATATCTGTTTCTTCGTTTACTCTCTCCGATCTTGTCTCTCGGATCCGGTGAAGAAGAAGCTCCCCCGCCGATCGAATCTTGTAGCTCGTCTTTGGTCCAGAGATTTTCAGTTTTTGTCGTTTGATCCGTCGATTTCATCGAGGTTGGTTTTTTTTTGCATTTTCTACTTTTTGATTTTCACTTCATTTTCGTTTCACATTTGGAGAAGAAGGTTCTTCTTCTTCCTCATGTTGCACTTTTTGTTGGAATTAAAGATTGGTTTTTTGAGAAATCTCAACGGATAATATGTTGGAAGTAATGTAAATCTGAGATTTTGATAGATTGGGTCTGATGAATCTGAGAAGAACTTATTGAGAGCTCTGTTTTTCAAGATGTTACTCGAATCTACCCATTTAATAAAGATGTGAAAACTCGAAGATTTTCTCTGTGGAAAGTGTGGAGCTTGGTTTTGATCAGATTATTAAAACATGAACTTTGAGTGGATTTTCTGATTTCAGTTTTGGTATGCTGGAAAAGAGATGTCTTTGAAAAGCATCCTTCGTGATCTGAAGGAAGTAAGGGATGGACTTGGAGGGATCTCGAAGCGAAGCTGGTCAAAGTCGTCTCACATTGCTCCTGATCAAACGACTCCACCACCGGAAAACATCCCTCAGAGCCCGTGGGCTTCTTTGCCGCCTGAGTTGCTTCATGACATAATCCGGAGAGTTGAAGAGAGTGAGACCGCTTGGCCAGCTCGAGCAGCCGTTGTCTCTTGTGCTTCTGTCTGTAAATCATGGAGAGGAATCACAATGGAGATTGTGAGAGTCCCTGAGCACTGTGGGAAGCTCACTTTTCCAATCTCATTGAAACAGGTAAAGAAAATTTCACCGGTTTTTGTTCATCATCATGTTCAAAGCTCTCAGTCCTTTACTTGATTATGTGAGCAGCCAGGGCCGCGAGACTCTCCTATTCAATGCTTTATCAAGAGGAACAGAGCAACAGGGACATATCTTCTCTACTATGGCTTGATGCCTTGTGAGTGATCCATATTTAGAGCTCATGAAATTGCCATTCAACAGTTGTTCTAACGATGATCCTTTTTTTGAATTTCAGCTGAGACGGAGAACGATAAACTGTTGTTAGCAGCAAGAAGGGTTAGAAGAGCGACGTGCACGGATTTTATAATCTCACTGTCTGTGAAAAACTTCTCTCGGAGAAGCAGCACTTACGTTGGCAAACTAAGGTAAGCAATTGTATTGATTTGACTGTGGTTTAGCCATCAAAAGCTCCTTGTTGTAAACTGTCTAGTGTGGTGTAGGTCTGGTTTTCTGGGAACCAATTTCACAATATATGACAACCAGACAGCATCATCCACAGCACAAGCGCAACCTAACCGAAGACTTCACTCCAAGCAAGCATCCCCTAAGTTACCTGCTACAAGTTATACCGCAGGAAACATAACCTACGAGCTCAATGTTCTTCGCACAAGAGGACCTAGAAGAATGCATTGCGTTATGGAATCTATACTCCTCTCTTCTGTTCTTGCTGCACCATTAGTAGTTAAAGGCAGTAAAGAGGAAGTCTCACCTTCGCCAAAAGGAGAAGCCAGCTCAACAGACAGGGAAATCACTGATGTTTCTCCAAGCTTGATGGACCAGCCGCTGGTTCTGAAAAACAAATCTCCAAGATGGCACGAGCAATTGCAGTGCTGGTGCCTTAACTTCAAGGGGAGAGTAACCGTTGCTTCGGTTAAGAATTTCCAGCTTGTGGCAGACATTGACCCTTCTCTAAATGCGCCGCCTGAAGAACATGACAGAGTCATCTTACAGTTTGGAAAAATCGGCAAGGATATTTTCACCATGGATTATCGCTATCCTCTCTCTGCTTTTCAAGCCTTTGCTATATGCATCAGCAGCTTTGACACCAAACCGGCGTGTGAAGGGTAAAGTAAATTCACGAGTAAAATTCATTTCTGCGCAAGTCATCATAGAAGGCTTTTCTGATCTTCAGATTTTGATATATCATCAAGCCATGAGAAGCTCTCTTTGTATGTAGATTGTTGTAGCTCTTTGCACTATGCTTTAAAACCGCCTCTCCTAATTCACTGTGACCAAAAAAATTTGATTGGGCTCTTGGTGGATAAGTTTAATGAAGTTATGATTGTTATATCCAATGTAATATATAAACAGAAGCCATTACACAACATATGAAACTCTGAGCTTTAAAACATAAGCTTATCTAATATAAGCTTAATGAAGTTATGATGGTTACATCCAGTGTAATATTTAAACAGCAGCCATTACACAACATATGATACTCTGAGCTTTAAAACCTAATGTGAGAATAGACTCTTCCAGGGGATCCAATAGCAGCGATCTTTCACAGTCCGTGTTGTCAAACTTCTCCTGCCCAAAGTTAGCATTGATCTTTCACAATCCATGGTCTTCAAACTTCTCCTTGCACAAAGTTCTCATCTCAGTGTGGAATAAGTGAGAAACTCCATTGAAGTAAACTGAAATGTTTGGCGCGGAATAGGATTCCTGCAGTCACGAAGAGTCGAGCAAAGGCAATCATAACGTCAAAATCACAGTATATAATGTGCAGTTTAAGTCAGTGAAGGAGAGATGGAGACGCACGGTCTAGGGCCGTAAACTTTGATCTGGCGGATATGAGTATCTCTCCCATTGAGGTGATTCGACAAAATGGCTATTTGCAACATGAATGTATTGACAAAAGTTTCCCTGTGAATAGAAAACAACGGTTTTAAACTTATCAGCTTTAAGCTTAGTTACCTACAGAAACAAGGCATTCATGCAAAACAACTCGAGACAACAGAAGTTAGTTTAGACACTTAGTAAAAAACCTCAAACCCAATGGCTCAAAAGCTGATATTGAAACCCAACATATCTCAAAGAGTGGAAACTTGCTAGCTAAAGACACATCTAAGCAATAGTTACAGGCCTTCTCTGAAGAAGACAGTCTTAACAAGTGAGAAAACAGAGCCAAAAGCTGATCATAGAACTAACAATGTATAGCAAACACTCTGCTCATCTTATCAGAAGCTATCTAGATAGTTTCTCAAAGCCGAAAGAAGAAACGATATTCTTGTAAGAAACCACCACAAAACCATAAGAAACAAAAACGGCGCAGCGCACATACCGTGGATCGGTTCCAGACAGAGATAGGCAAACCCAACCAGTTGGCTTTACAAGCTCCACACTTTTAATCTCCTAAACAATTGTAGAGAATGAGACACAAAAGGAATTATCTATCCATGGAAGTAGAGAATCCATTCTTTAAATAAAAGTTTTACCTTTAAATTATGAAAACCATCACCAGCTCGAATTGAGATTTTACTTGGTGTATAGCTCTCGTCGAGCTTAAAGTCAACGTACAGAAACACTAGCTTTTTAAATCAAAAAGGAATCAAAATTAATAACGAAAATCGGAAGATATGATTCCTTTTTCCCCATAATTATAATCATACCTGCAATTTCACTTTCTTCTGGAACTGAATGTTAATCAGATGTGGTTGTAAACCATCTGATCTGCAAATGAAGAAAACTCCCGATTTTAGCGAGATACAGAGAAAACTTAGAGAAAAGAGATGGGATTTAGGGTTTTTTTCTGTTAACTGCCAATAGGTCTCGAGATTGTCGTCGCGGAGAGTGTTGACGCCATTGCCGGGCTTGCAAGAGCTAACGCTCCAAGCGGCGTTCTTCCCCATCTCTCTTAGATCGTCTTCTACGATTAGCTTCTCGTTTCCTCCTCTAATCTTCCCTTCTTCCTCCGATTCCGATGATTCCGTCGCCATATCTATCTCCGATGTCAGTGAAACGAGATCCGAGATTCGATATCAGAGATTTCTAACAGTACTTTCCGCTAAAACCCTTCCAACGAGGTTTTGAATTCGCCTTGGGGCGTGGCTCATAAATAAACGCCGTGTCGTTAAGGAACGCTTAAAACGACATGAGTTTTTTTTCAGTTGAACGGAAACGACATGATGCTTTACTTTCTGTGTTAAGAGAACAGCAAACATTTGGAAATTGGAATGACTCAAAACTGACAGTCATAACTTAGATGAGATTTTTTCTTTTCTTTAAAGGTTTTAATTTGTAATCTCTTATCGCAAAAGTAAGGAGTTGCCGATCATTTTGTTACTAATCAAAAAGACAGTCGAAAACTCGAAATTCTAATTATCAAAAATAGTATAATCATTTTTTTTCGCATTTCTTACTATTCTGTCATTATCTCATTCATTCCCGCTAAAACTTTTTTATAGTTTTGTTCAAAATTTAATATATAGTTTTTGAAAAATATTAATCTCATTGTATATGTATAAAATAAATAATATAAGATATAATAAATGTTTACAAAATTAAGATTAGGTATGCAATAATAATTACTTCAATAGAGATTGAGTGAATGAAAGTTTATGTATTTTACAAAGAAAAAAAAAGGTCCCTATTCTTCCCCGATAACGACATCTCATTGATTTTGTTTTTGGAGTTTCAAATAATAGTATAGACGATATATATAAGGGATTTCCAATAAATGAAAGAAGAGAAAGAAAAATAAAATCTCTCATAGGAACCGAAAGAACAAAAGAAGGTCCACTTTGGTTAAAAATCTCTGCAACCACAATGATGCCCACTCTTTGTGGTTCTCATTCTTCATCCTTGCGATCCTCTCAAATCTCTGAACTACGATCTCTTTCTTCAAAAACTACCTCCAATCTTTAAATTTTGGCTATGGATAATATTTTGTCATAGATCTTGTCAAAATCAGACAGTTCATGGATTAGATCATTTGTTGGAAAATTGATATGAGAAAAGAACATTGACCCACTTGTTACCTTGAAAGCTACTTTTAGAAAACATATTATGACATATATTTAGAGAGAAATTGTGTCAGCATCAGTAAAATTATACATATCACTATACTAGTATCGTAATAGATTTAAAGATAGTACATTATTGATCAAGTAGGAAAAGAAAATAGTAAGCTGAAGAATTTGTTTGTTTTGAAATGCTAAATAATTCATGTCATGTTTGATCATATATTCGAAGTAGACTCGTTGCTCAAGACGAACATCCAAAATTTTTGAAATGTTTATTTTTCATTTTAACTCAAACGATTTTTTTTTTGAAACACATTTTAATTTATATATTAATCTATAAACCAAGTTTAAAGCATACAAACACAAAGATTCATTATCAAAATGCTCTCACACCATTATCAAAATGGTCTGCCTCTCTAAACATAAACTTAGAATCAGAATTAATTAAGGTAATAGAAGTTAGAAAAGAAATCTGAGAATTCTGTGACTGTCTGAGAAGCTTATTCGGGTATCAAATTTTATAATTCATATTCAATTTTTCTTTTTTGTAATTGGTTCCACATATATGATTATATCCCCAGAAAAAATATATTCAATTATTGTGATTCCCGAACAAATTAATCTGGTACCTTCAAAATGAATACATACTAGATCTGTATGATATACTTAAATGTTTAAACATTTGAATTTATCAAGCCAACTGCAAAAAAAAAAAGTTAAAAACACATAACTATCTTCTATTTTAAATCATTTTCACTTATCTAAATGCATGAAGTGTTTAAGAAATATACCAAAAAAGTTGTTCTGTGGATAGCTAAAATATCTATTTTATTCCTATTCGCATACATAACTCATATTTTATAATTTCCTAAAATATCTATTTGATTCATATCCGCATATATGATAATACCATCTTTTGGTGATTAATCTCCGATTTTGTTCGTTTTTATCACTTATCTACTTTTCATATATTAACTCGATTTTAACCCCGTCCGCACGAGAATGTTTTATTTTTTATTTCTAATATAAGTTGCATTTATATTTTTTTGTTTAGATATAATTTATTTTTGTTATTTATTTTTTAAAATCAAAAAATTGTTATCATAATTTAATTTTAAACAGTAAAATTTGTATATTAGTAGAATAAGAGTATGCGTTAATTAAGTATACATTGATCTAATGTTAATTATAAACTTTGTTATTATGTGAATTTAGATTTACACATAAAAAATCTATATATCTATGAATTTACTAATCCATCCGTTTAGTTGTCATCCATCCGTTTAGTAGTCTTAAATCATTTTTAATATCTTACATGTTTTGACAAACTAACCCGTATAAGACTATAATTATAATTGTATAACCCTATAAATATTTACTAATATGGAATATTTGGACCAATTGATTATGAAAAAATATAATAAGATATTTATTTATTATTTGTGCTATTAAAAAATATATATATATATATATATATATAAACTGGCTAACCTGTTAGTTTAATTGTCTCAAATCATATTAATATCTTACATGTTTTAATAAATTAACTCATAGACCTTAAATATATATATATATATATATAACTATAATCAGCTCGATCATATTATTGTATAATATAAATATTTATTAATCTCAAATATTTGATATTTTAGACCAATTGATTATGATAAAATACAATAAAATATTTATTTACTATGCATTTTTATAAAAATATTATTTAAATTTAAAATTTTAAATTAAATCTCTCCTGTATTTAAGAAATTTTAAAGTATTAAAATTATTATTTAAATTTTCGTAATAAATTTAATTATAATTTTTTTGAATTTTTTGAATTTAAATTAAATTGAATGCAAATTTTTGTAACTAAATTTAATTAAATTTCTAATAATTTGACATTTAAATTAAAGATGACCTAGATTTTAGGAAATCTAAAATATCTAAATTAATAACTAATTTTTGGAAATTAAATATAAAAATAAAATAAAATATTATAAGAAAAACTTTATGAATGTTTGGATGCAGGCACTAAGGAGATGTTATTCAACCATGGTTTTTAATAGAGTCTAAATCCATCCACAATCCATTGTTATTCAATAATTGATTTTAATTTCTCTTTCAAAATCAAATGTTATTGGTTCATGTATTTACAACCTCTTTATTAATAGAGTTTGAAATCCATTGTTATTCAATTAAAGAGTTGAATAAGTCAATTTAAAATCTTATGTTATTCATGTTTAACAGATTTTTACAACTGATTTTAAGTGAAAGATTTTAACTGAATTTGAACCTATTTTTATGTGTTAAATGTAGCAATCAAAATCTAACCTTTTACCCTCAGATTTTGATAATTATAAAATTCAACACAAATAATTATTAGTTTTTGTTTTTTTTTTCTTCTCTCCAGGTATTAGTCGATCAAATATATCATTCTCTCATCCCTCCAAAATTTTTTTTCTTTTTCCTTCATTTTGTCTTTTCATTCTTCATACGTCTTTTTTTTTCTTCCTCCATTTCTCTCTCCCTTCTTTCTCTCCCTTCTCTCATCAAGCGATTTATTATTATGAAAACTCAATTTCACACTATTCTCTCTTTTCCTTAGCACACATCTCTCTTTCTTCTCTCTCTATCTCCATAAATCATCAAAGAAAAGGTAATATATTTCTGGATTAACAATCGTTCTGATTTGTGGTTTTAGATTGTTTTTTTTCTTTAATCTTTTCAAATCCAAAATTTATTGAGAATTCTATTCTATTAGATTTTAAATGATTGCATGTGACTTTCTAAATACACTGCTAAGTAATTTAAAATTTTAAACAACTCATATACATTAGATTCTATATGAATTAAAAAATTTAAAATCTGATATACTCTAATCTAGTGGAGTTGATTTCAACATACAGATTGAATAACACCCCCTAAATGTGCTTCTGTTTTAATAGAATAGATGAGTGAAAAATATACTGGTGGCAAAAAACAAAAATGAGTAAAATATATATTTAGAAATAATACTCGATCCCCATTTTTCACTGATTTTTATAAAATCATGGCGATCTCTCATAGTTGTACCATTCGAATGCGAACGTATTGATGGATATATGTCGTTGACAACGGGATCTTACTAAGATTGGAATTTATAAGTTGCTCTAAATAAAGAAATAAACAAGAAATTTGATAGATAATTTACTTGGATATTATTATGATATATATATATATATATATACAACAAGGCAACAAGGTTACAGGAATTCACCACAAGAGTTTTTCTCTTTCTTCTACTACATAACAAAGTCCTCTATAACACATTTATCTATTCTCTTTCTCTCTTTCTATAAATCTATTATATTAAAACAGAAGCACATTTAGTACTTGCTTCCAAACACTTCTAATTTTTTTTAAGTGTTTAAAAATAATTTTAATAATTATTTATATTTAATTTCGAAATTAGTTATTAATTTAAATATTTTTAGAGTTCCTTAAATATAGATAATTTAGATATGATATGATTTGATTTGATTAAAAATAATAAATCAGATATTAATTTAGATTTGATTTAAAAATTCTAATTTAAATAATTTCTATACTATTAAACATTTTTATCAAAAATATCTAGAATTTTTGAAAAAAAAAATAATTCATATATGAAAAATAATGATCATATTTGAAATATAAAATATTTATAAATGATGTAAATGATATGATATTTATGTTGCTTATATAATATATTTACGATTATGATTTATTTACAAATTAATAATAAAATATTAGGTAAAATTCAAATGTATAATTTAAAAATTAAAAATATATTTTTAAATTTCATAGAACTAAAAATATATATAAAAACCGGGTTAAAAATATTTTGGTAACTAAAATCACTAATTTTGAATTATACATGTATATCGAAAATATATTTTTCATACAAAATGAAAACATAAAAAAATAAAAATTATTGCATACACTATAATGTGGTTTGAAAAACCAGTTGTAAACTCCTTTCGTTGATTAAATTTTAGAAAACTATAATGCTAAATAATACTGTTAATACATCTCAAACTTTTAACAAATATTTATATTATACGGTTATATGAACGGAAAAGTTAGAATTATGTTTTTATAATAGTTCATTTTGAATTAATATTAGCGAACGGATTAAAATTATATTTTTATAATCATAATTAATTTTAATACTATAAAAATATATCTAAACACAAAAATCAATATTTTCACTTATTAAAAAATATATTTATAAAAATAATTATATCTAAACTCAAAAACACAAATTATATTACAAAATTCGTTAAACAATAAAAAATATTCCCGTGCGGATGCACGGGGTTAGAATCTAGTATATATTATCTTATAAAACAAAATTTATACAAAAAGATTGATGGTGACAAGACCATTTAATTGCTATTCTCCAGTTCTTCTGGTTTAAATATCAGAAAACAAGGATCAGAGGATAAGAACAAAAGCTGTAATTTTTTGTCTTTCCAAAGAATTAAATTGTGAAATTGTCCCTTTGATGAGCAAATATAATGAAATCTGGTTCTGATTCTCATGATAACTTCAACAATGTTGCTTCAATGAATCTGTCTTAGTACTGAAAACCAATGGTAGATGGATTGTAGAGACTCTGTGACTGAGTTTCCCAGCTTGCAGATGGCTGAAACAGAAAGATACAAGAGACAGGTTACTTTCCATACAAGTACCAAGAACTCAGAAATAATCGGTATAAGTTTTCAGGATTGATAAAATGTGCTTACAGCTTCAATAGATGTTGTTTGGTTCGGGTTTATAACAGATAAATCTAGAGATCCTTGCTGATCTAGCGGAAACAATGGCACATCAACCATTATTGGTGGCTTTGAATCAACTACTACTGGAAGATTTGTAAAGTAAGCCTGAAACTGAAATTTTCATAACCCCTAGATAATTATGATAAGGTCTTGAGTAATAGAGAATTTGATCTTGAGTGTCTAGAGAGTGTGTGTTTTCACCTGTTTTACTGATAAATCTTCCACGGCTAGCTCGAGTTCTGGGTTTAGGACAGCGAGTTTCATCGACAAGAACTGCAAAAGTTTTGTCACTTGAGAGATTTAGACTTCTTCTTTGATTATTTGGTGAAACAGAGAATCAATGTTTTCATATATATTACTTACCTCTACTTGTCTCTGGAGAGATTGAACATAATTGATGATCTCATCAAGCATACCGGCTTTTCCAGTAACTTTGTTGCATCCAGGAACAAGATCTTGCAGATATTTCATCTTCTTGCTGATCTTTTCTCTTCTCGCCTGTAAATCCAAATCCTTTACAAACCCTAGAACTATCTTGTACCTTGTAACGAAAGAAACTTATTTGAAACAATTTTTATTACCCTCTCTGCTAAACTGTGTCTGTCTGTGGCTTGACCTCGACGAGCTCTCACGTGTATATAATCTAATTTCTGGCTCTCTGAAGCTCCCTTCGATATTTCCTTTGAAGTGTCTGAAGATGCTTCCGTGTTACCCATGTTTGATTTTCCTTTCATGTTTGACTCTGTCTCAACCTCTACTTTGATCTTCTTCTCTGTCTTTTCTTCTTCCTTTGTCTTAATCTGAGATATAGTTAAAAAGATAATCAAAACCTATGTTTCAAAAATTTACTTTAATTTGATCTTGTTTTGGATCTACAAACCTCTGATTTTCTCTTGTTTTTCAAGGCAACGGCTCTGTCTTCATCACTGCTCTTCAACATAATGCCCATTGTATCCACTTGATCCATCTGGCAGCTACTTGTTCTTGAAATGCAGCCATCCATAGCTTCATTAGGACCAAAACCCATGTTATAGTTTGGTCCAAAATCAGATCCAAGCATTTGAAAATGGTGGAAAGTACTCTGCAGCAACTCATCATTGTTGCTTCCGTGGAATTGAAGTATCTGAAAAAGTTCAGGTGAATTATTACTGCTCTGAGACACAACTTGTTCTTGTTGCTGTTGCTTTTGCAGCCATTTAACCCTTTCAAGTACAGACATGTCCATGGAGCTTAAGGATAAGCTATCTGGAGAGACAAGACCTTCCAGCATATTGTTCTCTGCAGAAATCTCGTAACTTCTATATATGTATATGATCTTTAAAGTCAGACCAAAAGTACAAATAGAATAGAATATGGTGGAACAAAAGCTCTGAATATATTTTTTCTTTTTTTGGGTGGGTTAAAGCAAAAGAGGATTTGCTATAAATGTATGCAGTAGGAGAGATTTAGGTTTATGTAATGTTGTTTGGGTAGGTTGCTTAGAAAAGATGAAAGAGGTGGGAAAAACTAATCCATTGATATCATTCTTCTTAGCTTTAAATAGAAATCAACATTGACCCACATACATTGGTCCCCTACTTCTTATGTTTTCTATTTTCCTTATAAAAAGATGAATTTCATTTACTTATTTGTTAGCTCTCGATACATAAATACTCCCTTACCAACTCCAAATGGTACCACCATTTTTTTTTTTACGTACACCGAAAAAATATTCAGCAAAAACCGGTAACTTTTTTGTCTAGTTGTTCGACGTACTAGTAGTAAATTGTATTGTAATGCATTTGCGGCCGTTGTTAGATCATAGTCATAGGGTCATCGAGATAAACAGGTAAATCAAATAGATAGAAAAATTATACCACCTCTATTCATATATAAGTACAGTTTTAACACTTTTACACAAATTAAAAATAATGTAAATTTCCTATTATATATACCTTTGAAAAGAAAGTCATTCTTGGATTTGTATTCTGTTTTACAAATAAAAAAGTTAACAAGTTGAATAATTTATCTCCAACATATACATTAAAATCGTAAAACAATATTTATTGTGAAACAAAAATATAGTTTAATTAAAACGTTTATGGATCAGAATGAGTATATTTTTTAGTCAATAGTAAAATTATATGTAATTCGAATCTGTGAGCTAGTCCTAAACTCTCTACCTTTTCTCTTTAGCTTTGTATCAAATGTAGCCAATGTGTTTGTTCATCACTCGTCTCTAATCAACTTTCATAAACTCTATGACCACAAAGTCATAGCCTTGTATCAGTTACGATGCATTTATATTGAATACCCTTCCAAATTATAATCATGTCATTTTCTTAATGAACGTTGACAGTTAAAACAGATTAAGAGTTAGTGTTGGTGGATAAATCGGGTCCAGCGTTTAGACATGACTGTGACTACGAGAAAAAAGACCCCAAGAACAAATTGCATAAAAATAGTAGTAAAGATTCGGTATCTAAGGGAAGATTGGGACATAAATTGATAAAAGTAAAGGTTGGGAGCAAAGAAGGTGAGAGGAGAAGGTGTGGGGTCTAAGTGACATAACCCACACCATGTGGGCATGTCCTTACGAACACTAAATTTAGAGGTTCTTTATCCCTTCTCGTGTGTCTATTTTTTTTTTCTCCTTTTTTTTCTTTTCTTTTTTGCCCTTTCAAGTTGATGAGAGGAGCTTATTTGGAAAATAAACGATGAAAGAGACCTTAACACTTATGGTATTTGGGTTGGATGCTTGACTATAAGGTAGTCAATTCAATCGAATTTAAGATCAAACCAAAAATTTTAAATATAGATTGGTTCTATAAAACCTTAAGCTCACAAAGCAAACCATTACAAACTAAATTAATTGGATCAATGGAATAAGTTATATATATATATATATATAGTGGGTAAATTAGCTAAATAACCATAAATCTTTATTTATTTAGGTAAATAACCAAGTGATAAAACGGTAACTAAGGAATAGTTTTTTACTTTAAAATATTTGACTAAAATACCTCATTTGCATTCTGCATACACAGGTTATCATCTTACTAAATAGAACGTTTCTAATGCATATATAAATTCTGAATTTAGAGATTTTTTTTATGATTTGTTATAAATTTTTCTGCAATTTCGTCTAAAATTATGAGATATAAATTTTTAAATTTTATTAAATAGAAAAATTTTTATAGGTTTATTTGACGGAGTTGCAAAATCGTAAATAGAGAAATGTTTGATTTCATGTGTGTTTTGAATAAATAATGTGATGTCATTGTATAAAATAATGTGTTATTTTTTTAAAACACATACGAAATCAATACTTTTCTTGTTTAAAACTTTGTCATTGTATTGTTTTATAAATAAATCTCAAAAATTCGGCTATCTAGCAATTTGTATTTTTTCGATTTCCGGTTTGTGTATAATTCTACAAAAATATTTTTTTGAAAGTGAACCGAATCGAACATATTTCTGATCTTATTGAGTGTGGAAAAAGGTTGGGAATGTGAAATTATAAGTTATACCTTTTTAAAAAAAAAAAGAATGTGAAATTATACGTTTTCAACTTTAAGAGTGAAAATCATCATAACTCATAAGCAGTATACCTAACTATTTTGATTCCGTAACTAAAAAAAAATAAATAAAAAATGATTAAGAAAATTGAAGATGGTAAAAACAAAACGCTAGAGAGAGGGGTCGAACCTCTGACCTTGTGGTTAACAGCCACACGCTCTAACCAACTGAGCTACTCCAGCTGATTGTTTATATCATGTTTAAGTTATATATAATATATATTTGGTTTATCACGTATTTCCAAAACAGATATAATATATATATATATATATATTTTTTTTTTTGGAACAATCCAAAACAAAGACATTAAAATCATGGTAAAGATATTGTCATCTTGGGTCTTCCATAAATGAATCAAATGAAAATCCATGAGTAGATAATACAGCAAGACAACAAGTAACAGTATACCACCAACCATTGAATATATTATAAATTAATTTATATAACATGACATGTTAATAATTAAAAGGGACATAAAAATATATTTAAACTAAAATATAGAGGAAAACAATGGGTTTAAAGATAAGTGATTGGAAGGTAGGAGACCATTACTTTTGATCAGAGAGTTGGTTCCTATACCGACTCATCATTCAATGTCCCTTTCTGTTCACCGTAGATTTTATATATATTGAGGTTTTATTTTTACCCAAATCCAAATTTATACATCTTTCATTGTATATTTAATATAACTAGCCGGTGGCCCGTTGATTTGTTAAATAAAATGTAACATCCGGATATTGTTTGTATTTTAAACTATGTTTTCGAATCTAGAAAATAATGTAATGATGTTATGTTTCTATGAAATATTATAAGACGTGGATCCGCGACCTATTATTATGGTTCAGTTATTTCCTAAACACCATAATAATTTTTTACACTCTTTAATCTAAAAAATAACTTCAAAAACTTATAACTTCACATAAACCCATTATCCGACCGGATCACTTGTCAAATCATAATTCTTTTTATTCTGGTTGGAATATTGGAAATTCTTTTTTATTATTTAAAACTGAATGCATCTATGTAAGTGTAAGATAATTTTATTCATGAGATCGCCATATATGTTGTTGTTAATAAAGATCATGATATATATTAAAACTGAAAGCCAAGAAAAAAATGAATTTAAAAAACAAAATAACAAAAAGGAAAAATATATGTTTTACTTGAATAGAGAATAACAAAATAAAAATAAAAGAAAAGAAAAAATAGAAACTACAAAATAAAAATGTAAAATATAATTTATGTAAAATTAGATTAACAACAATTTGTTATCATGTTTGATAATTTTTTAATAAAAATCAAATGAAAAAAAACTCAGAAAAAAACTAAAAAATAAGATTTGAAAATTGTCTTTGGAACCTTTTTCATTCATGAGTTAGTATGTTTTGATCTTACGGTTGACGGTGATATAGCAACAACATGAACTAGCATGGTTTCGGTTAGAGAGAATGTTTACCATGTTTACAGATACAATATGAATAATATCTTAATTTTGGATTATAAAACATATTTTTTATATGATTAGATGAAGCTTCATTTAGAATACAATTATACAGATCATATAAATGCGAGTTATCAATTTTAAGGTTTAATATAATTAATCTTTATCCGTATATCATAGACCAAATTTAGTTTAATAAAAAAAATGAAAACTAACTTTCAAATACTGTCTTTTCCCCCGGTAATTGGCTATGCGATGATTTATTTAATTGATCAACTAAACCCTAAACCCTGAAGTGCCATCTAACAATTCGATTGATCAACTAAGAGTTATCAACTAACATTTGTTGACAAAATAATCCGAAACAAAGTCTCTTCCCTATGATTTTGGGCCTTATCTCACTACAAATGTGGTTGCAAGCGGAAAGGGATTCCATTTGAAGGCCCAAGGTAAGCGACCAAACATGACTTAAAACAAGTTAAACAACTAAGTGTCAATTATCTAATTGGGCATAAAAGTTTAAGACGGCATTAAAACCCAAGTGTAAATGATATCAGGTCCAAGACAAACTAGAACCAATTCAGCAGATTACATCTGGCGCAACATCACTATGACTCGTCCGGTTAGTACGAGTTGGGACGTTCTGTTAACAAGATCGAGAAATACAAGAGTGGTTTCATAACAATTAACAACTATAGATATCTACAAAGACGAGCCATGCATATCTTGATCACGAACCCAAATCCTCTATTCAAGCAAAATGATTGGTACTATTTTGTTCCGAAGACAAAAGAAATTAATGCTTACAGACGTTATGACTATGAGACACTTTATATCAATCCATGAGATTTTTATTTTCAAATTTCTAGTGCAATCCTAAAAAATTTGATTTCAAGTGGAAATCCAATTCTATTTACTCAGGTTTATTTAAAACTAATCCTTCTTTCATTCATATATAGATTTTCCAAACTCAGTGAAGATATAAACTTTACAATCGATGAAATTAACCCCATCTAGGTCTATTGTATAGGAAATGAAGATTAAGATTTCAGATTTCGCAGCTAGCTCCTCTTTGAAGCTGTGATGTCCGAGACTTGAAAACATTCAAATCGTTCAGTCCACGATTATTTGATTATTAGGTGGTGTAAAACCACTTCCAACAAATCGAAGAAACACTTGATTCATGATTTTTAATTACAAGTTAAAACGATAAAGTAAACATACTTATCTAAATGACATTTCTATAAAAATAGACACAAAGTAGTCACACTCCTCTCAGCGGATAATTCCGTTTTCTATAGTGAATTAGTTTATATTTTAAAATAAAAAGGTTGGAATGAATGGGATTCTGGACCTGATATGGTAATGAATTAATGCAAATTCCTTTGCAGTTCCAAAAAAGTTGCAGAACTTATTGTGCCCACACTCCAGAGTCAGTATCACAGCTCCAATACCATTAAAACTTGTGTTTGATACTTTGATTCCTAGGGTATTTTGTCAAGAAATAAAAATAAAATTTGCTCAAATTTGCTCAAATAAAATTTGCTCAAATAATTAT